GCCTTGGACCTGGAAGTGGGGCTGTTCCTCCATTAGGCCCGAGTGTCTGTGGCAGGGTCCCCGAAGAAGTCGTGTATTTTAATGCTGTGTTTGAGGCAGGGTGTGTAGAACATAGAGAGGGTGGAAGTGGAACCCTTCTGGAACGTTAAAGGGGTGGCTTACTACATCATTAGTCACTTTCTGTCTTTTGTGGCATCTTTAAACATTCTTTCTAAAGGCGAAAGAATCAGTGACTCTGACAATTAGAACCTACCCCACCTCTCCAGCTTACAGAACACTGATATGAAATTAGCCTTGAGTGCTGACAGCTTTGTAAATAAAAAAAAAATTGCCCTATATTAGCATGTTTGTGGGCAGATTAAAACTGTCTTCATTAGCATAAGTAACACTTACAGATTCTTTTTAAAAGTAGAAAATTATTTGCTGGATGATAATTTGCTAGCTTTATAGTTACTTGTTGTTCAGAATGTACTCATTCAAAATGCCTAGCGCAGTTTAGTCTATAATACTGAAATTTTTTTGTGCTAGAAGTACTATTTAATGGATTATGTACTTAATCCTTGTTCCTACTACTTGCTAAAATGTAATTCATGCTTCCCACTAAAATGTTTGTATCAAATACCTCCCTATTTAGATTGATTTCTTTTAATATCATATATTATTATACTGTGTGCCCCAGAGATTGGAACGAAATACTTCTGCAAATAACACGTAAAAGATGGAGGGATAAATACAGACTATAAAATGTTTTGCTTTTTACAACTCAAATTACCATTCTATTTTTTTAAATGTATTTTTCCTTCTTAGTTGTAGCAAGAATTATTTGTCATTCTCTTTTTCTTATAGCTCTTGGGTTTAAAATGCATATGTATATAATGATCATATATACATATCTGTATATTACATTAAATGACTTTTTCCCTCAGAGAATACAGAAGTCTGTTTTCCCCTGGAAAACTAACTGTGTTACATGCTCCCCAGCTTTGTCATAGCCCCGGCTCTGAAAGGTTGCTCTTTTTATGTGTGAGACCGTATAGGTACAATAAATTCATTTGTGAAATGAGGTTACTTTCCTGACTAAATTAAAATCCTGTGCGCCCCTTATGCGTTAGAATGTTAGAAGTGAATTGACTTGAATTAACTGTTCTATAAAGAGTACAGTGGAAATCAGAGATTGAGTCTGGTTGGAAATTAGCAGCTGAGAGATGGAGGTGCCAGGATTTTTATTTAAATGTGGTACAACAAGATTCTGTCGGTAAAGCACGTCATTAGAATATTGAGTTTAGAACTGCTAATTTTTCCTTTAAAATGAGCATACAGTCGTGTGTTTCATGGACCATAATAAATTGCCATTGTGTTGCCATCGAGTTTGTTTTGCTTTTTGTCAGTATTGGTTTGGCAGTCATTCTGCATTTTTTTCTTTTCCTCTCCCCTCCCCCCCATCTTATAGTTCTTTAATAGGTCCCTAACCCAAACCAGTCAAAAGAATGTTACTTATTTCATGCAGTCTTAGCTTTAGCATCTTCTGCACCCTTTTCTTGCTCGAGGTGGCAAGACCTTTGCAGATGGTTCTTGGTTACTCTAAAGTACACAGCGGTATTTCCTTTGTGGCAGATGGATTTAAGACTTTTAGTTCTCAATAAATGTAGGTTTACAATACATAACTTTACAGGATTTGTGTTGTATGTAACAGGTTTGAACATATTATCTCAGAATTCATCTGCATGGCATTTTCAGCTTATTCAGGGTCCATGCCAGTTTTTTTAAGTAATAGGGGGAGCGCTGTGATGGATAGCAACAGCTCAAGGCGTGATTTTGAATAGAAACAAAGGGTTTCGAACAGAAGGTGTCAAATTAAACTTTGTCAGTTTGGAAAGTAGTAACATCCTGAAAGTTTTACTAATTTATTTACATGTGGCCACTGTTTATATTTTGCCCTCTTTATATGCAGTGTGATATTGCTTGGCAAATTTACTACATTTAAAGTTTAGGTTGTTCCTTGTACCATTTCAGTTTTCTGAGAATGGATTGGGGTCATTATTTTAAGGTCTGTTAGTCTTCTGTCTTTTCTGCTGTTCAGAAGAGTTGTCACTGATTTCAATTTTGAGAGTAGTCCCCTACTCCCACCTATCATCTTACGGTATTTCAGATCTCAAAGACCTCTCTTAAAAAGGTGATTATGTTCACATTTTTCATTCTTTGTCTCCTCTACCAAGTAAATCTATAAATTTATCATTAAAAAAACCAATACAGTATTGGGGAATCATTATTTTTTATTTGTTAAATATTAACAGATATTCTGACAGGTTCAGTTTCTTCTCAAATTTATAGGCTCGAACAAAATCACTTATGGAAAAGTCACCTAGAAGAAGGCATTGAGGAATTAGAAATTATGTGGCTTTTTTAGTCACTTTTTGCAAAACATAGATTAAATTACTGTCATCATTAATAGAATCTCAGTCAGTGGGATTTGAGGTAGTCAGAATATTCCGTTATTTGGACAGTATTAGAAAAATTAATCTTACTTTTGCTGGTGAAAATTGGGGATGGGCCAATTTATTTCTCTGCTGACAGAACCAGAGTGTTAAAATATGTTTTCCATTGCTTTGTAAGAGATACGCACATGAGGAAAAGCAACACCCCCCTCCCCCCGCCTTTTTGTTTTTTTGGAATATCCTTGTAGAACTAACAGTTCCCAGCTGCACCGTTAAATATTTTTCTAAGAAGCATCTGATTTCAGTCTCTTGAAATCGTGTTTCTTGAAAGGCTAGCAGAGACATGCTTCAAACTTATAATTCATCAAATTATTTTTAGATAAGGAATTAGAAGTATTATTTAAGGGCAGAGGTTAATAGCAAACTACTGGAAATGTTATGTTAGTCATGGGCAATTAATAAAAATAAGGATCTATCTCATAAGTATAGAGGCATGGAAGTGACAATATGAGCAAAATATTTGTTGAATGAGTCAGGGCTCTTTTTCTGAAATATTTGTTAAACCAGCGTGAATGTGATTGTTTAGGAATTAGCTATCATTATTAGCCATTTTAAAAGAACTAATGATTTTCTTTTCCAAAGAACATCTGTGATCCACATGTTTTTTCACATATATCCAAGTGCTAACTGAACTCTGCGTTAAAAAGTTTCTAAAGCAAGCTTTTCTTACATGAATTGTTCTTAATTTAACTTTTAGCAATTTTTAGTTACAAGCATTAGTTTCTAAAAAATTTTTTTCTTAGATGCTCAATGTTTAGCACTTAACTGCAATGATATAAGACTAAGTAAAAAAAAAAAAACTTTTCTGTTTGAACCTTCTGACATCTCTTGAAAGAGAAATAAAATTGTACTGCATGCTGCATTTAGGCAGGGGGCCTGCCGTTTATCTCAGCCAAAGGCTGCAGACCTGGGTGGGGGTGAGGGGCAGCGGCCATGACACAGTTAAGGTTCAAGCCTACAGGAGGGTGTGTCTACAACCTTCACAGCATCACAGCTTAGAGCGAAATAAAGACATAACTTAGACGTAGGAAAATGTGAAGTATTCTCATGGCTTGTTAGATAACAAGTATTTACCAGTAAGAGCTAAATAACCACATCCAGGCAACTCCTGTGGCTAGTTCTAAAAGTCAGGTAACAAGGAAACTGTACTTTATCCATTCACATCCAGATCATTTAGTGGAAATTTTCCAGAAGCTCCTTTGTCTTAGGCTGAGTTCCCTAAAGCAGCACCTAGGATGGGGAATCACATGCCCTGGATTTGGTGAGGGACGTGGAAGGAGAAAGGAGGATAGGATAGGGTCCGGTAAGAATGTGGTCTCAGGTAAAGTCTGTATTCGTGGCAGGGGTAGGGCCATCTCTAGAAAGTAAATCAATCGAAGGGTAGATGAGTTGCCACTTTGGAGTTAGGGGGCAGAGACTTTGTACCACTGGGTCAGCCAGCCGTAGCCACCTTGGGTGAGGGGCCAGGAAAGACATGGAGTCACAGCTGTCCCGGCATCTCTGGGTGAGATGGCCCCAAGACAGTTCTCCAGAGAAGAGCATGGCTGGAACCTCTTAACAGGCAGCACAGCCGCTGGTGGCAGTGGCCTTGGCTGGTGAAGAGGGTCTGGATAGGGTGCTCCCCTTCCTGTCCACTCCATTCCTTAGTGTCCATCATGGCAGCCAAGATGAAGAAGGTTTCAGATGGTGATTAGAAAATGTTAGACAATGTACTCTGTTAGACTGCTCAGTTTTTGAAAGATGATCTGAGGATCAACAGTTCAACTTTAGGAGGTATTAGTAAGGTTCAGATTTTAGCATTCATTGGGCATTTCGTTCTTTATTCAGGAAATCTGATAAAATTGCTGCTTGACCAATCATAGTGTACACTGCAGTAGGCAGCAAAACAGACCCCAAGGTGTCTTGAGAATCCTTCTTATGCCCAGTCTAATCATCATGCTTTATTTTGGACAAAGTTCTTGCTCACACAGTTGCACACGTCCCTTCTCTCTTTCATACTGAAACTCACTCATACATGCACACACACAAATATTTACAGTTTCCTTTCTGATACAAAAATTATGAACTTTGGAAGCCCTTTTAGAAAAATTTATTCTAAAAGTCTGTCCTGTCTCTTCTTAAATACCTTCAGGACCTCAGGTGGCCACTCCTCAGACAGGAGAGGGGGCAGGACTGAAGCACATTCAACTGTGCTTTTTTCCTGTTTCACACATCACAGAGTCCGTGGTATATGTGTCTTGCCCCTGGAGTCTGAAAAATATGACCCTCCTTTAAGATGCAAATCTGAACATTTATTGGAAGCAGAGCCTGTCTCCTCAACGGCCACAACTGTTCTCTTAACAGGTTTGAAAAAAAATGTTAAAGCAGATTGGAGTGTTTTAAGCTTATGAAAAAAAAAGTTCACTTCGCAGGGTTTTTTCTTTTTAAGCTCTTAATGGGAATTGTCAGGCCTCGCCCTGCCCACCTCAAAGGCACGAACTGACCTATCACTCCCTTGTCTCTAAGGGGTGGTTGTGTGAGCTGTTACGTTGGAAAGAAGATCCCTCTCCAGAAAACAGGACCTTGTGGGAGAACCTCTCCATGATCCGAAGATTCCTCAGTCTTCCTCAGCCAGAACGTGATGCCATATATGAACAGGAGAGCAATGCGGTGCATCACCATGGCGACAGGCCGCCCCATATCATCCACGTTCCAGCAGAACAGATTCAGGTTCGTTTACCTTGGCCAATTCAATATAGCACTAGGTAAATAGAGCTTTAAACTTAGCAGGGATATTAGCGTTTCTCTTCTTCCCAGCAGTCTAAACACGGGCTTTTCAGCAAGAGATAGCAATACACTGCCGTCTTGCTCAGGGGGATGAAAGGAAAATTAACACTTTCTCCAACATGTGTTTTGTGTTCCTCTCCTCTCCCCACCCCCAAAGTGGCAGGAACCCCTTTTTACACTTCTTGTTCAGCAAGCACGTCTTTGTTAAAATTGGGTTGTTTTGGGTATAAGAGCTTACATTCTTAAAAATCAGAATTTAAACACTCCACCTTTACTTTTTAAAACGAATACCTACACTGCCCCCAAGGAAAGGAATTACCACTGTTTTCTGTAGAGGAATTTTGTAGAATTACAATTTCATACCCTGGTTTCTGTCCCAAAGGAGGAGGGGAGGGAAACCTAACTGCATTCTTGATTCCGACTCCTTGGCCCTTCCTGCCCCTTATGGTTACCTCCCTGCACCCTCCTGGAAGACAGGTTAGAGGTGAGTCACGTCCGCTTGTCTCTCCTTTAGAACCCCTCTCCCACCACCCTTAAGAAAGGAGAGTCTAGAGGCCTGCTGCCCCCTGTACCATGGCTTGGTGCTGCTCCTCAGCTGAGCGGGCACCAGTTACCTTTGCCAGCAAAAAATGGACACAGAGAAGGGCACACTGGCTTAAAGACCTGCTCTCTGGTGAAGATATGCACTGTGAAAGGACATACTGAACATGCCAGTAGACAGAGATCACTGTGCCAACAGAATCAGCCTTGTACTAGCTTGTCCTGTCGTGGGACGTGTCTCCGATCATCCACTGAGGAGACTCCCCTATGGATTTAGATATGAAAGCCCTGGGATCAAGTAGTTATTAGTACCCTTATGGCCTCGATTGCTTAGGAAGTGTGTTGAAATTGAACTTGAGCTTTATAATTTATTAGCTTTCCCCTTTAAGGGAAAAATGTCATTGCCTTCCAGAGCCCTAAAATTCTACTACCTTTGGTGAATCACCTTCATTATTTCTGGGTTTTGCTGTAAAAAAAAACACATATATAGCTAAAAACAATAATAGGGTTATCCATCCACTAGGAAAAAAATCTTTGAGTGTGTATTAAAGATAAATTGAAAAAGAGAATCCCTTAGGATATCAAGCACTAAAATAATCTTGAAAGCCTGATAAACTTAATGTTTAGCAAAAACAAAAAAGAGAAAGATATACATAAAGTAATAAAAATAGGGCTTGTTTGAAAATGTAAATCGTTTTAAATAAAATTGCTTCTTAGGGGGGTAAAAGGTAATGCTTAGGTGCAGTATGAATATTCTGATATTTTGCTGCTTACTCGGGACGATTTGCTCTGCTGATGAGAGTTACGGGCAGAGACTACAGGTACATGCATGTGCCACACATTTGTTCCATGTAATTGTGTATGGAAATGACGGCACATGTACGGATACTATGAAAGTGTCTGTGTACACTAAATTTAAATCCTAGTCACATCCGAGTTTACTGTAGACAAAACAGTACTCCAGCCATTGTGTGGTGGATTGAACCTTCATTTTTCGGTAAGAAAAATCTTGCACTGTCAGCTTAGTGCAATTCAGAGCTGTCTGGTAGCAAATTCACAAATGGGAGAGTCTCACAAATCCTTTGGACTCATAAGAGATAATGCTGAAGAAGAGCAGAGGACTATCTATATTACTTGTAATTTAAAGAAAACTTTGTTTTTGCTTCACGATTCATCCATCCTATGACAGGGGGCAGAACACACATTTCTTTCATAATTCCATACCTCACTTTTCTGAAATGCCTTTGAAATCCGTCTCCATCTTCCTTTTAAAAAAGTGTTAATCATTTACATCATAATCCCCTTTGCTACATTGGAGTTTGATGGGTGGCCTGGTGAAGTTCATAGCTCTCATTTCAGAGGAGCCTCCCCCCCCCACCTCCAAGATGGAAGCCCTAGTAGACCGCCCCCAACCAGATTCCTTTCTTCCTTCCCAATTCTCATCATTTTGGGGTTTTTTTCCCCCTTTAATGCTATGGGCCATTTAGCTGGCCTGCCTTTTGAGCCCAAGTCTTTTGTCTCCATCAAATTAGCTAGCCAGCCGTGGGATCCCTAAGCATGTGCTTGGTCGTTGTAGCCAGCTGCGTGCACGCCTGGGAGAACGCAGAGCTCTGACTGTCTGCCTGTTCCTTTCCAGCAGCAGCCCCAGCCCCAGCCGCAGCAGCCGGCCCCACCGCCCCCGCAGCCCCAGGCACAGCAGCCAGCAGGCCCCCGGCTGCCCCCGCGGCAGCCCACGGTGGCCGCGCCGGCCGAGGCTGAGGACGACAGCCGCCAGAAGACCCGGCCACGAACAAAGATTTCCGTGGAAGCCCTCGGAATCCTCCAGAGTTTCATCCAAGACGTAGGCCTGTACCCGGACGAAGAGGCCATCCAGACTCTGTCTGCCCAGCTGGACCTGCCCAAGTACACCATCATCAAGTTCTTTCAGAACCAGCGGTATTATCTCAAGCACCACGGCAAACTGAAGGACAACTCCGGCTTAGAGGTGGATGTGGCCGAGTACAAAGAAGAGGAGTTGCTTAAGGATTTAGAAGAGAGTGTCCAAGATAAAAACGCTAACACCCTTTTCTCGGTGAAACTGGAAGATGAGCTAGCAGTGGAAGGGAACACAGACGTTAACGCGGACTTGAAAGACTGAGATAGAAAGTATTATTTTCATTCAACAGTGCCACTGGTATTTACCAACAAAATGAAAATCCACCTGTATTTGCTCACAAAACCTTTGTTGTTCATGGTTTGGCCAACGACTCTTCAGAAAGTTGCACAAACAGGAAAGTGGAGAAAGGATAATACAGACTGCACTAAATAATTTTACTCTGTTTTACAAACTGCTTGGCAGCCCCCGGTGAAGCATTGAGGATTGTTTGGTATTAAAAATTCAAATTTGCGTTCACGGGATGCACCGAGGTGTGTACCCCGTTAGCATGATACCAGTGATTTTTTAAAATAATTATTATTATTCTGGAGCCTCAAACAAGCATTATAACTTCTGTGATTATCATTTCCTTCCTTTAATTATTTCTGTAACACTCCACACTGATCTTTGGAAACTTGCCCCTTATTTTAAAAAGAAAAAAAAAAAGAGTTTGTTACTCTATTGTATGTTACAAAAGAACTATAGACTGTGGAATGCAGTTTAAAGATGACATATGCCAACAAATGCCTTGTAGTATATGGCACTGCCGTAATTCAAATTTGTGTTTATTTTAGAAATAAAAGTTCACTGTCATTTTTTTTCATTCTCATTGTTACATGATTTTTTTTTAAAAAATGAAAAAAATGTGAAACACAATTTAGTCCTCATTATTTATTTGTAGATCCTGCAGCATCCTGTTGTAATTAATTTTTTGGAAGTTTCCGTTAAATGTAATATTGCTTCTCTTGTTACCATACTGATTCTTTTCTATTTATAAATGTATTTTGATGGGCAGTAAAACAAAGTGTCTTAAAAGTTTTAAATAGAGAAAATGTGCTTTACACAGTTGCCTATAAAAAGTGCTCTATGTTATCCAAGCAATTCATACTATAAGCTTCACTCTTATTGTTGTATGCAATTTTTACTATCATGCAAATAAGCTTAGGTAAATAAAACTAATAGATCACCTTAGAAGATTATGCAATTAATGTGAAAATAATTGATGTTTGCAATGTGTCTTCCTTTGGTTTACAATCAATTTTAAAGCTACATCTGTATAAAATTTCTGTATAAAGGTGTATTTCTTTTTTTTTATGAGTTCATGGCTATGAAAACACCAGCTATTTTGTTGCAGCTGGCTGTTTTTATAAGTGTACCACAATTTTCTTTATGCAGAAATGTTCTGATTAGGAGTGGTTATTGACTGTAACTACGCAATTAAAATTGTTTGTATGGTATGACATGGTAGGGTTTGTCTGCTTATGTGAAGTCACCTTCAAGAGTCCAAGACGGCCCTCCCAGTTAGGTGCATGGTACTACCTTCTTGATATTTCACTGATTTTATAAAAGGCAATTGAAAAGTCACTCACTAAATTCAAGTCACAAACACATGCTCATTTTTTAAGTGTAACTAGGGAAGAGGCTAAACTATTTTAGGTTAACATTTTGCTTAATAAACAGATAGCAGGATGGTCTAAAGACTCGCCAAAAAAAAACAACAAACCATAAATCCAGTCTCTGGCAGTTATGTACTGAGGATGGATTCATCTGCATTTACTTCACAATACTTCAGTTATGGCAACACTTTTTTAAAGCTCTAACGCACAGATATTTTTAAAGGCCACTAATAGTAACATTAAAATAAGCATGGAAAAATGGACCCTCTGTATAAAAACTCCTTAATAAGCAGTGTATTTTTCTAAAGTTATAAATGGAGTATAAGTTAACTCATTTGGTTGTGTATGTCATAACTATAAGAACCACATGAAGAAAACAAGAATAACACACCTGGAATTTAAACACAGTTTTCAAGATAGAAAATTAGTTGTGCTAATGGTCATAGGATTGAGGCCAGGGTTGCAGTTTTTGATATTTTTTATAATTACTTTATATTTTGCTTCCTGTTTTGAAAGGGTTCCTAGATGTTGGTTAATAGGTGTGTCTGGGTTCCTTAAAACCTGGTTCTGAAACGGCCCCTTCTTCTCCAGCCATCGCCCTGGGCCCTGATAAGCTTGTGGGCAGGCAACTGGGCTGCTTTAGTGCTGAACTTTTACGTAGGAAGCTGAAATGGTATCATTGAAAACTCCCCATTCACTTTTAAAAAGTACTGTTTACTTTTGAAGTGCGGCTGAACTACTCTGAAAGCAGCTGGCTTCCTGCAAACTTAAAAATTGAAAAAGTTTTTAATTTACTTAAGTGAGAAAACTTTTAAACATTCTTGTTCACGAGACTTGAGAAAAGCATTTGAATAAAAGGAGCTTGAATTAAAATAGAGGTTAGATTTCATGTATTAAAAAACAAATAGAAACTAGTATGCCATGAAGTTTTTAAGAAAACTATCTTCCTCTTTCTCTTCTCTGAGTTTAAGGAAAAACATAGAGCAGAGAGAATATTTTCTTAACTAGCCCAACACTTAAGGTGTCAGAGGTATGAAATTTAATATTTTAATGGGAGGAAAGAATGGGTTGCAAAATAAGATTTTCCCATTCCCAATAATCTAACTTTTGAAATGACATTCTCAGTGAATTGGTGAGTGTGTATAAGAAATCAACAATATTAACAAAATTCTTACTTAGGTCCTTTAACTTAAGCACCATAATTTTGCTAATATGGTATATTAAACCAAAAAAAAAAAAAGCACATGACAGTAAACAGTGATGAGTAGTGTGTAAAACTGTTTTCAGGAAAGATGGCACATTTTCGAAAAGATCTGTCTGGGTGACCTTCCACATGGCTCCTCCCATGTCATTACTGTGCGTAGCAGTCCTCTTGTTGCCCATGGAACAAGCTTCATTGTGTCCAAGTTTATCAGAGACTTTTTAAAAGCGGGGCATGGTAGAGCGCTTCGTGCTGTTAAGACCTTAGCAGAGTCAGGTAGTTTACGGGTAATATTCAACCTTGTACATCTGAATCTGTCATGGATTCCTTCCCTCAGCACTTTGCCACTAATTTGTATTACACTCTGTGGCCATATAATACTTGCACATTATGCAAAAAATAATGTTGATAGTATCTCCTTGGCACAAAATATGCAGAGTTGACACATAACCTTTGAAAACCAAGGTAACTAATATGTGTATGTGCCCTAGTTGTGTGGCGCTTGGTTACAAAGTCTGTACATATTGTATATAAAATGTGTATAGATGAACATTTAGTCCTAATGAGCTTAAACAAAGTGTTTTTTTCCAAGTAGTGATTATCTGTATCTGTGCTTATCTAAAATATATAGCTTGAGTAGAAAACATTTTCAGATGGTTCAAGATCGAGTAAAAAATGACAATCCCATACATTCCATTATTAAATTCTGCCCTAGTCCCTGTTGTGATCAGCTGATATTAAGGTCTTTGATTGTCACAATAATACCAAGAAATGAGGTATTCTGAACTGCCTGGTAATATTTTCAGAAAAGAGCAATCAAAATGTATATACCCTATTAAATAGCCTATAGAAATAGGACTATTGTGTTAAAACAAGCCAGAAATTTGCATGATAGTGTGGAAACCAATGGAGTTCCAAAAATATTAATTATATCTAAAATATGAGAAGATATTGATGCTATAATTTATAAATAAATATTTTTTACTTTTTAAGGGGGTATATTATGAATTCGGTGTTTCTTCTGAGGCAATCCTTTCAATGTAAATACTACTTGCATGTCCTTTGACAAAGGCCAAGCTACAATCTATTAGCATACACGTTTTTGATAAAATATAAAGTACCCTTATTAAAGAAATGTGGAAGGTGTATGTCCATAATACTATACCTGTTTACAATACCAAATGTTAAATAAAAATAGTTTGGAATCACTGTTTAAAAGGTGAGCAACATTTTTCAGCTTTTCTTACATTACCCTACTTATGTGGATCATATATATTTCTAAATATAACTTTATCCAAATACTTCTACAACAACTCCATTATGGCTTCTTGCTTATACCAAGGTTGTATATTAAGTCACTTTCTTCCATCTACTGTTTTCAGCTGCTACTAGTCCTACCGAGATCAAAGGCCTATGAGCCGGGCCCTGTTCTCTGTGATGAGGTGGTTGAGGAGGGAATGCACTAGAGTAGTAGGTTGCATTTGTTGCCTTGCAAAATAAACACTCGGCAAGGAAACCCTAAAGTGACCTATTTTGCACTAAGTTAAATGTTAGGCATTATTTCTTCACTGCCCGTTGAATTTGCTATTATCAAATATTTGCTTCTCATGGTATCCACATAAGCCTTCAGTCCGGTGACAGTCCCTAATTCATGCCCTTAGGCCCACAAAAGAAATGATGTTCCACATGCTGCTCTGATTTGCCACTCGGAACAGAACCCACAGGACCTGTTAGGCAAGGTTCAGATATTTAAATGCATCCATGAATTTGCTGAGGCTGTAGCAGGGGGATGCAAAATGAGCACGTGTCCGGAGCACAGCCTGTTCAACGGCATCTTAATGTGGGGATGGGTTTCAACTACTCCACCTTTGTTTCCGATTTTAATTTCCAAATATTTGTTTTACCACCTCATACAAAGTCTTCCTACTTTCTGAGGCCCCTTCCTAACATCCTCCTCAAATATGCTTAAAGTGGTAACTGCAACAGCATGTGTTGAATGCTTCATGTTACAAGGCAGGGCCACAAACACACCTCCATTCCGCTGTGAGGTGTGTCAGGAAGGCACTGAGATTCCCACTTCAGAAACGAGACAAGGAAGCTCAGGGTAACTGACTTGTTCTGCCACCTGGCAGCAGTGCTCTTAAAACCAAGTCTTCTGTCTACAAATGTCTGTCTCTACTTTCTCCTTTAAAAAAGCTTTCCGAAATGTAGAAAATATAGGAGAAATTCACTGCAATTCAGAATTTTCAGAAATAGCACATGCATTTTGCTACTATAAAAAGTTCATTACTAAAGTCATTGAAATCAAGTGTATGAAATATTAACCCCAAAACCATCCTTGTGTAAGATCCATATCACCAAATTTTTTAAAAAAAGCTACACTTTATTATAGGAATTTTCAAATGCACATGAAAAACTAGAGAGAAGAGAATAATGAACTCCCAAGAATTCATTACCCAGTTCGAAATATTTTTCTGTTAATAAATACTTTGCAAAACTAGTTAAAATTAAGATGGAACTTTTATGAAAATACACAAACTGTTCAATGGCATAATCTTACCTTTTACAAAGTACTGAACTTTCTGATTTCTAGAAAAAAACTAGCAACACTTGAAGTTTTTCCTAGTACCCTCTGAGAATTTTCAAAAAGCCAACTTTAGAAGGAGAACCCATAAGAATTCCACAAATATTTGTAATGTAAAAAAGACAAACCAGCCTCTCTTTATTTATAAACAATACATGCTTTCATATCATTGTTTAAACTAAAGTACATAATTTTCAGTTATGCATAATAAAATATGTAATTAAGCAACATTCCATGGTGGATTAAAGAATTAAAAGCTTCAGGTGCAGAAAAGAATTTGTTGGCATTTTTCTTTTTCAAAGTGGTATTCTGAGGTGTTACTTTTCATTTTCCTTTGACATCTTATACAAAAATAAATAGACAGAAACAGGTGAGATGCTGAGATGAAGAATTGGCTCCACTACAATAAACCTGAAAAATAGAGCTAGGCAGAATATTTGCAACATGCCCACGAAGGCTGAATCAAAAAGGACAGAAATCTTTTTAACTGGGGTTGGAGGGAGGGAAACTCAAAACGAGCGTGTGCTTCAAGAAATAGGAATTGCAAATAGTTAACTGCATTCAGTAATGCTCATATTTTAAACTATGCTAAACCACACTCCAACTGGTGAAGTCCAGTAAACTTACTATATTTTTTCAGTGAAGAATTATATTTAATAATTCTGTACTAGAAATTTCAAAGTTCATAGAGGTATTTGCAAGTATTTCTTGTCAGTCTATAGCTTTTTTTTTTTTCATTTTCTTAACAGTGTCCTTTAAAGAATAGAAAGAAATTCTTGATTTTGGGGAAGTCCAGTTTAACATGGTTTTTTGTCTAAAGGTCTGTTTTCAGTGCTGTGCCTAAGTAATATACACTCAGTCCAAGGTCACAAAATTTTTCTGTCTTTTCTTTTGGAAGTTTTATAGTTTTAGAATTTATATTTAAATCCATGATTCATTTTGAGTTATTTTATGTATGTGGTACAGTGTATCAAGGTATAGAGCAAAATGTTTTTTCTTTTTTCTATTTTTTGCATATATATTTCCAATTCTTCCAGCATTATTTAAGACATTTCTGCCTCCATTGAACTGCCTTTGCATCTTTACCAAAAACCAATTGACTTTATGTATGTGTGTGCGACACTCTGTTGGTGTGTTGCTCTTTCCACCAAGACCACACCATCTTAATTACTGTACTTCATAAGTCTACAGGTAACATACATCTTCTAACTTCATCATTCTTCCTCCAAGTTGTTTTGTTGCTTCTGAGTCTTTTCATCTCCCTGTGAATTTTAGACTCGGCTCATCATTTTGTACAAAAAATCTGCTGGATTTTGATTGGGATTGCTTAAACTGCATAAATCATTTGAGGAAGAAATGGCATTTGAACAATACTGAGTCCAGTTCATGAACACACGTTATCTCTTTTATTTAGGTCTTCTTTCATTTCTCTTAGCAATGTTTTATAGTTTTCTGTGTACAGGTCTAACACCTGTGAGTCACATTTATCCCTAAAGTATTTCATACTTTTGATTCCATTGCATTTTTTTAAATTTTTGATTTCCGATTGTTTTCTCGAATTATGACTGATTTTTTTTGTATATTGATCTTTCATCCTGCAACCTAGCCTAAACTCACAATAGTTCTAGTAGTTTTATAAAAATTCTACAGAGACAACCATGTCATCTACAAATAGTTTTATTTCTTCTTTAAATGTAAATGTGTTTTCTAGAATGTCCAGTACAATGTTAAATAGAAATGGTGAGAGCAGATATCCTTGCCTTGTTCCTGAACTTACATGTTAGCACTGTTCTAAATCCTTTACCATACAAATTTATTTCATCTAAATACCACCACAGAAGGGAGGTGCATTATTTTGATTTCATTGTTGGCAGTTGAACTAGGCACAGAGGGTATATGTAACTGACCTCAGTGGATATATCTCCCAATAACTCTTTGATGTCTCAAAATGCAGCCATAGTTTTTGCCTTGGCATGCATTGCTTTATCCTTAATTGCCACAAGGGTCAAGAAAGGGAAGTGTGCTAAAGAACAAGACAAAAGTAAGCAGAGAAGGGAACCCAAGAAAGAACAGGGACACAGGAAGAGAAGGATGATGTTGGGAGGAAATGGGAAGTCTGCCTGGTAAGTGAGATCACTCAAAGGGGAAGCATGCCTTCTACATATTTTTCTATGATGAGTAAAAACAAGAAAAAAAAAGAAGACCACATAGCAAACTGACCTCTTTAAGACCTTGGAAACACTACCTATTTTTAAGTTTGGTGATTCCAGTAAGTGCCCTAATTTGGAAAAAGAAAATATTTCTATATATAACAGTAAAAAGGGACCAAATGTACTTAGATCAGAGATTGGCAAACTATTCATCGGCCAAATCTAGTCTGCTACCTGTGTTGTAAATAAAGTTCTGTTGGAACACAGTCATGCCCATTCATTTACTTATTCTCTATGGCTGCTTTTTGGTGCAACAACAGAATTAGAGTGGATGTGAAAGAGACTGTCTGGTAACCACATCTGAAATAGTCACCCTCTGGCACCTTTACAGGAAATGTTTGTCAACCCCTGCCCTAGACCATTAGGCTGAGCCTTGGTTTGTGAAGGTAGAGAACCAAAGCAGTTTCCTGGATAAGTTGTGTCAAAGCAAAATAATCATTTCAGTATTTTTCAGGAGAGTCTGAGCATATATTAACCAGAAAACTCTTTCATTCATAATCCCATGTTTCATTTGATGTATGTGAAGAACCTAATTTGTTTATTCTGCTAATTACCTCATGGCCTACACAAGAGCCTAAGACCAGAGACCCTACACCCTGTTGCTCACTAGTAACTATTCTATAAAGTTAGAAAATTATTGACTAGAAACTTCATCCCTTCTTGATAAACTCAAGAAGTGTTAATATTCTTGGCAAAATTGTTTTTGCACTAATTGCCGTATCCATCTGCTCTGTGAGATTGATTAGACTGAGAGAACATTTGTTCTCTACTAAAATCAATGCTTCCTGGCCCAGCAGAAAGCTAGATCTGTCTTATTTCCATCCTGAGAGGACTCACCACTGACAACTGTAAGCTTTTCCTTTGAGGACTGGAGATTAAATTGGCACTTGGTTTGATAGCCCTTTAGAAAATGATTCTATCTAGAGAGAGTTCTATTGAAGTGAACTAAGGCCACAGGGATTTTAATGATTCCTTTATAGATAATGAACCTGCACTATTTCAGAAAGGCCATTTCCGTAGACCCAGTGGTTGGATGCCAAACCCTGGAGAAAAGTTTGACCACTGGAGAGCCCAGGAGGAACAAATGGCCCTCCCCTCATCTGTCTTAACTCTTAAGCTCTTGAAACCTGCAGAGACTGAGTAGCACTGTCCCTGTGCCTAAGGGAAAGCAGATGCATAGCCTAATTCTGTCTGGATTAGACCCAGTATTTTATTTAAATTAATCAATTTATTTATTTCTAAACATACACTTATCACAACAGCCTCTGAGTTAAAAAAAAAAAGAAAATGGGGAAAACATAAGAAAGAAAAACTTGTAATAAACATTTATCCCAAATATAGCAATAAGCTTTTGCTATTACAGTTCTC